GAGACTAGACTAAGACTAGAACTAGGAACTAGAAACTAACACAGGGAAAAGGCTCCGTAAAGTAGCTATCACACAATGAGCGATAAGCGCTAAACAATACTCAGGCAGTTTGAAAAGGACCTGAGTGGGTGTAATATAGTGAGTGTGAGATTGGTTAAAGCTGTGTGCAATCAGTGCAATGGATGATGGGATATGTAGTCCGGGATGACATGCAACAGTTTGTGTAGTGTGAGAGTCAACGTAACGGAAGAGTGACCTCTGGTGGCGATTGAATGGAAGTCCATGGACCGGATTCGTTACAGTTCATGCATTTCTTGTAAATTATTGCTTACTTTCGTTAAACATGACTCATTTGCAACTAGAAGAAGCAACTAGACATCAGGGGTGTTTGGCTTAAAAACAACAACAACAAAAATAATTGTTTTACTTAAAATTTACTTTAAATTTTGATGCTCCTGTTTTTGGATGTCTACACAAAGGGGCAGTCGTGGCCTAATGGTTAGAGAGTCGGACTTGCGACCCGAAAGTCCGGCAGGGATTGTCGGTGGGGGGAATATCCAGCGCTCTCTCCACCTTCAATACCATGACTGAGGTGAGACCCTTGAGCAAGAACCAAACCCCAACTGCTCCCCGTGCGCCGCAACATTAGCTGCCCAGTGCTCCGGGTGTGTGTTCACAGTGTGTGTGTTCACTACTATGTGTGTGCATTTGGATGGGTGAAATGCAGAGCACAAATTCAGAGTATGGGTCACCATACTTGGCCACGCATCACTTCACTTCACTTCACTTCAAATACTTTTTACCCTATATACAGTGTACATGTAGGGCAGTGTATTGTGTTGTCCACACGATGTCGCTATGACACTGTTGTGTTAGGGCAGATTCAAGTATTTTTAGCGCTGTTTGAGCCTTTTGATGTACCGTAGTTTTGATAGGCGTGTAGTGCGCCATCTTTTCTTCAGTTCATGTTATCAACACTATAGGTAAGTCACGTTAACAGTAGTGGAAATTTCAATTTAAAATATCTTTGTTGTTATCGCTCTAAAGTTCTGTCTATTGAGATATTTTGTGTTCTAAACTGCTAAAGACCTAAATGCAGAGTAATATGGAGAGTTAAAATGTTTTTTGTTCTTTCTTTGGAGCGTGATTAATACGGGGTGGCTGATGCAAAGCTATGTATGATAATATAAGCAGCGAGAGATTGTTATTGAATTGAATGTGCATTGAAATGTACTTTACTAGTTTAAAACTTAAGTGAGTTCATGTTATCAACACTATAGATGCCGTGCTGTGGAATAAACGGTCAAGCCACGATCCCGAACCCCTCTTTGTCCGTGTCTCCTCTCTACCACCACCCACGAACACACAACACAGCGCAGAGTAGCAGCGGCAGTGCTAGAGGCCAGTTAGCACGCAGAGAGAGAGAGAGGGCTACATACACACACACATAAACACACACACATAAACACACACACACACACTTTATTTATTTGTATCTATTTTGAGGACATTAATAAGTTTATTCAGCAAAGATGCATTGAACTGATGAAAAGTGACAGTGAAGACTTATAATGTTACAAAATCTTTTAACAAAATGTTTGTTCACTCTACTATTTATGCAAACATCCTGAATATCAGAGGACAGAAGCATAATGAACTTTATTAATGTTTGCTCTTATAATGTTAAAAAGATAGCTTTTCAAGAATAGTACATTTTTAAAAAGATAAAGAATAAGTGACAAATATAACAATACAATGGCTCTTTTCATCTGTTTATGAGAGCATGCACAGCAAAACTGTCCTCTTCATCAATCAAACCTGAGAACTGTTGCTCAGACAGTCTTTAGGAAGAGAGAGAGGGAGACAGGAATGAGGGAGAATGTGAGAGAAAGGGGGAATAAGAGGAGGTTGGGAACGCTTCCGAAGTTGGAGTTGGATGTTGGCTTTTCAGTGTTGAATTCAACAAATCCAGGTGGGTTGCTGCCTGTGTTAGACTTGATCCAGTCCTGGTACTGAGACACTCTGGAGTACACACCAGGATATTTGGGCTCAGCACATCCTTTACCAAAACTCACAATGCCGGACTGAATCCACAGGGAGCCGCTCTTGCTGACCATTGGACCTCCACCGTCTCCCTGTATTGACAAAGATATAGCATTTATATCTCTGACAATATACAGTGAACAACTGTTACAGACAGAAGTATGCAGTAATGTAACCCAGTGGTGAAAGTATGCTGGCCGCGTTTATTTTAATGAGGCCAGCATACATTTTTTAATTGTTTGCAGTGGGAGCACTGAGCGTTTTTCCCGTCAATGAGAGCTAAAACATTTTCAACTTTGGGAAAACCAAGTGTGCCACACATGTCCTGAAAACTGAATCCAAAATATTTTGATCGCCCCCTGCTGGCTAGCTGCAGTAAAGGTCTCTGTCCTCTCCATAAACCAATGGGACATGAGCCAAAAAAAAAAAATCAATAACATTTCAAACTAATTTTTGTATCCCAAAACTGTTTTTTTGTTGTTGTTGTCATTTTAGTTAGTTCTAATCCACTGATATTTGTGTAAGCGTCAAGTAGATGTTACAAAAAGTAGCTTTAGAAAAAAAATCATTCAACAGAATTTATCACACAAACTTTTCGGCTTCATCATCCATAAAATGATGACAGTGAATGATGACAAAATTTTCACTTTTGGGTGAACTATACCTTTAATGGTTTTTTAATTAATATGGAAATATGAAATGGTGAATTCACATTCATTGGGACACTTTTAGTACTTTTCCAACAATACCGGAGTTGGTGCTGGAGCTGGTGCTGGAGCTGGAGCCGGAGCCCAATTGGAAACCGGGCTGTGCTTTTCCACTCAAAAAAATTCCAGCTCCTGGTTCCGAACCGGCCCCAAAACCCTGCTGGTCTCGAACAAAGGAACCTATGATGTCAGTAGGCGGAATTTCCACTGCAGACGCAGTTTGAAAGGCATAATTTTTAAAAACTGTTGGAGTTCAGGTAAATAAACAACATTAACAAGAACAATTAAATACGTCAGTTCATCAGTGACCGGCAGAAGAGATCAAGTCTCCTTCTGCAAGAGATAACAAGAGATTCTGGTCACATGTTAGTGACGTAGAAGGATCTGCTCCCTGCCAGTGGAAACGCGACCCGGTTCTGAATGAGTGCCACCATTATCCGAGCACCGGCTCCAGCACCAGCCCCAGTAGAAAAGCGATAGTTTTGCCATTGCGATGACTGGGGAAAAAGTGTCCCAGTCAACCTGAATTCATCTCTAATTTTTAAAAATGAAATTATACTCTAAATAAGAAACTAAAACTACCAGTAGGTGGTGGTAAATATCTAAATTAAATAAAGTAAATGGCTCTCTTTATGAATGGGCCATTGAATCATTGATTCACCCAATTGATTCACTCAAAAAGCAGATTCATTCAGAAACAAAGCAGTGCTGTGTGTTGCTCGGAGACACAGCAGTTCTGCTGTGGCTTTACAAGGTAATAAATTAGTTGGCAAAACTGAGCAAAAGCAGACAATATTGCATCTAAAATATAGCACAATATCACATCTGCACTCTATAGGCACTCTATATTCTATAAGCTTCATCACACAGTGAGTTGTTGCCCTGCATCATGTTCTTCATCACTCAACTGTAATGAAATGAAAGATGTGTAATGGGATTATTATTTTTTTTAATAAAAAAACCCCCCTCATAAATCACACAAAAAGTTTTTTGAAAATCGTAGGTTTAGGTGTAGGGTTATATATATATATATATATATATATACACACAGTATATACAATATATATGTGTGGGTGTGTGTGTATATATACACAGTATATATATTTTTTTATTTTTTTATTTTTTTTGCATCATAGCTCATTTGTAGCTTGTTCCATCAAAAGATTCTCCGAGTTTTCTTTTATTTTTTTATATTTCCCATTAATTTCCTATGTCAGTCATTTTTGACCACAACGGAGCCAAGTGTGACTTTTTTTTTTGTTGACCCATTAACATATTCGATTCATGTACATGATTTTTGTGTGTCTGTGTTCACATAGCTAATGCAACAAAAGTCGTCAAATCATCCCATTCCGATGAAGGAAGAAATGTTTCAATTTCAATATGTAAAACTTTGTGGTCAGTTCCAACCAAAGAGGCCCATTGATGCTATAAAAATGGGGTGTGGTGTGATTGGGTCTGTGGGGGTTTGGGTGGGACCTTGATACTGCAGCTCCAGCTCACGATCACTACTGCACAGACTTGGTCGGGCTTCAGAGTTCACCCTGTGTGTGCAGCCTAAATCTCATGCATATTAGCGCATATAGACTGCACTGCAACTCCATGCTCATCTCCGCAGACCTGGAGCAGGTTGCATAAACATGGACACTACGCTAAGACTGTGTCTTAAGAACTAGTTTGTCTAACTAGCAGTTAACAAAGTTATAGTCAGTCTTAATTTTCACATTTAAATTAGATCTATGTTTTTATGTAACTGACTTAAAAAAGTTATGAACAGTCTTGCTGAAAAATATTAGAAGACTAACTTTTAAGACTAGTCTAAGCAGTTTATGCAATTGGCCACAGGTGTAGCATCAAAAAGCAGTCATAGTGTATGAATTTATGATCGGTGGAGTAAGTTAGTTAAGTTAAGCTAGTTAAGCAACTAGGTTGGCAGTGTAAAGTTTGTAGGTGACAAAACTGGTGAGTAGTGTTTTGTACATTGATTTGGATAATAAAAAGGGTTCAAATGAATGACTGATGTCTTACCTGACATGAATCTTTTCCTCCCTGATTTAACAATCCAGCACAAATCATATTGCTTGTGATGCTTATGTTGACCCCTCCATAAGCATTAGCACAGGCACTGTTATTCACAACTGGTATCATCACCTCCTGCAGTATGTCAGGAACCTGGCCTGTGACACAGATCAGAGGACAGATTTTATGGCTTTTAAAAAACATTTCTAGGTAAACTGTTGAGGTTTACAGTAATGTTTGCATTCAGTTAACTGGCAAGCAAATGTCCACTCACCTCCAGGTTGTAGTCTGCCCCATCCAGTGACCCAGCTCTCCTATGGGGGTAGAATCGTTGCATAATTCCAAATAAATACATTATG